CAGGCAGCTTTGCTTTCTGTGCTCCTTGTCTTAACAGCTTCTGCTTTCTGACTCCTTGAGTGCTCAGAGGCACTCCACTCTGACTGAAGGCAGTTCTTTCTCTCTGTGGGCCAGCAAGCAGAGTTCTGTTGACAAGCGTCCAGAGGGACCTAGCTGCTTGCTTGAAGGCACTTGGCTCTCTTGTTCTGTGGCTCAGCTCCTGAGCCATCTTGAACCAGTCTCCTGGTTCTGCTGGCACTGTTTTTTTTTTTTTGTGTGTTGTTGTTGTTGTTGTTGATGTTTTTTTAATCCAATAGTTTTACTTTTATTTACAAATATCACATAAATGGATTCTAGTTGAAATTTACATGTTTTAATTCCCTCTGTGAAAAAATATTACATATTTTAAACATGGTAACATTTAATACAGTATCTGTTCTAAAATAGTTTCATGGCATGATCACGTTTGTTATACTTGAAATTAAATTTATACATATTAGAGAATGAATGGTAATAGTTGAGCACTTGACAACTGGGTGATGGGGGAGAATGGACAGGGTTACATTTTATTATTTCAGAAACATCAGTGTCTCTTCTGACAAGCATTTTGGTCTTTTCCTTCTTTCTTTTTTTAAGTTTTTTTTTTTTTTATCGTGAATTGAGTGATTGAGTGATAGTTTAAATATGGGAACATCAATTTTACATTCATCCTATCATATTCGTTTCATTGCGATGATTATAATCCCCTGCATGCTTCATCGTTCAATAGTATTTGTTTCTATTCCCCTCCTTTTTGTTTTTGGATGTGCACCGAAATTTTATTCAGTAATATCCAATCAAACAGCCAAAGGGCACACACTGCATACCTGCCCCCAGCTCTAGCACATATCCCCTATCCCTCCATGAGTCTAGAATCCTCCACGGCTCTGTCTCTCCATGTCATCATCTCTGCCTCCATCTCTGGTGTTGCTGCTTTTCTGGGGAGGGTCCCACACTCCACTCCTGCTCTTCTCCCTTGATGTCATGTGCACATTTTCTAATTCCTTATATTCTCCTTGAAGCAGGGGCTATGTTGTGCACTTACACAATATTCAAAAAATACCTGACTGAATGAATGATTGATAACTCTGGTTAGATTTCAGTTATTCTTTCTCGGTGTTACGCAAGTTGAGAGGCTCCATTTCTTATACTACGTTAATTTAGGCTCGCCTATTTTAAATAGGTCCTATTTAAAGTCTTCTATACCACCAACTGGGACCTGTTTTAAATAGAGTGCTCTGTATATTTTAGATTGCCCTTGTGTGCCTAATCTCATGAGGATAATTATGCCCTACTTAACTTTTGTTTTTAATTCAACAATACTCCATGGCAACAAGACTGAAATATAGGCTGTTCACAGATCTGAATCTTGTAAGAGTATTTGTCTTAATGCTGAGCTGGTTCTGCCCACTGGAGAACAATTTGTGTCAATATGTGGATTCCTAGCTGGCTTGGACGTACACATTGGATCCATCTTCTTGGGTTCTAACGATAGCCAGTGAATCTTGAGGTGATGAACACCTTCAGACACTGAGCCTCATCCACTATCTGCCCAACAGTCACTAAATACCCACTATGTTTCAGGTAATTTGTTGGGACTGGAGACATAAGTAAAACATACCCCTTAACCCTGAGTTGCTCATTGCCAAGAAGCATAGTCTCACCTTTACAGTGCAGCATGATAAAAATCTATAATGGACATGTGGCAGAACAGTCTGGAAGCTCAAAGACAGAACAACCTACTATTGGGTAATTTGGAGCTTTATTGAGGAAATGACACTTCAAGCTGCATTTTTAATATCTCTGCCACTGCTTTTTGGCATCTGTACCATCTCTGCTATTTCAGCTCTCCCCACTTTCTTCTGAACCATCACTAGACTTTCCTTTGACATCTACAATTCCACTAACAGTCTCTTCAAGGTAAACTAGGCTTTAGTCATTAAGCACTTTAAAACTCTTCCAGGCTCTACGTATTACCCAAACCACTTACACTTTTTAGGCATATGTTAGAACAGCACCTCCCTCCACGTACCAAATTCTGTTTTAGTTATCTAGTGCTGCTACCACAGAAAGGCCACAGTGGGTGACGTAAGAAACAGAAATGATTCTTTCATAATTCAGGAGGTTTGAAATCCAAACTCAGTGTGCCACCTGTAGGGGAAGGATTTCTTTCTCTGTCAACTCTGGGAGAAGGTCCTTGTGTGCATTTCGTGGTCCTTGGAGATCTTCCTGTGTCTTGGTATCAATCATCAATCTTCCCCTGGTCTTTGGGGTTCTCAGCTTCTAGACAGGTTCCACTGAGAATCATGACCAGCCAACTTGACATATATTTTAGGGAGGGACACAATTCAATCCATGATAAACAGACTCTATCTAGATAAAGTGACCCTGAAAGCAAATGATTGCTATATTTATCTACATTTGTACAAAAGATATGGCACTATGATTTTAGTGACCAGCACCAGATATCTACATCTTTGTAATGGACAAAAAGAATTAATCTGGATTTCCTAGTTTTAATTAATTAAATCATCAAATACTTATTGATAGCTTAATATGTGTGAGATATAGAACTAGGCAATGGGTCACTTAATAATATCCATTTTATATTCTAATTTTGCAAACATCAAACAATCTTCTAACATATGATTTGGTTTGTGCAATGTAGTCAATCAGATGTGGATTCATATTTTGACTGCTCCATGTGCTGGTCATATCTGACCTTAATATTGACAAATTATCTATCAGAAACTAAGTTTCCCCACTTGCAAAATCTCTTACAAATTTTTATGCGGATGAAATGAGATAAAGGTTAAAAACTGAACACCAGTATCTGCTACATAAGAGTCCTGGTGTAGTGCTATAGAATAAGTATTAGACTGCTAACCAAAAGTTGGGGGTTCAAACCCACCAGCCACTCTTTAGAAACCCTATACTCATAGGGTTGCTATGAGTTGGAACTGACTCGACGGCACACAACAATCTGGTACATAATAGTCTCTTGATAAACATTAACCTGTCATAACTTTTTGCCTGACTTTTATTTACTTAGTAAAGAAATATCTGCACTTACAAAAGAGTAGTTTGTGAGTTCACAAACAGAACTTTACTATTTGTGAACTGATTAAATTTCTGACAAGCAAAGTAATAAAAGCTCAGAGTATGGTCCACAGAGACTTAACCCTCTAGGAGAGCCTGCTTAAGACAGGGCTAGGCAGGAAGTCAACTTCTTTTTGACAATGTCATGAAAGAATTTAATTAACTAAGAATTTAACAAAACAAGAATGAATGGATTTAATTAGTGAGAAACAATATAAACAAGAACTTGAAAGCAATATTTATTCTACATTAAACACACACATATATTCACTGCCTTCAATTAATTCTTTCTCACATTAACCCCATAGAGCAGGAAAAAACTGACCCTTAGGCTTTTCAAGGTTGTAAATCTTTACGGAAGTGGAATGCAACATCTTTCTTTCATGGAGCGGCTGGTTGGTTCAAACCACCAACCTTCTAGTTATCAGTCAAGCACTTAACCAATGTACACTAGGGCTCCCTCAACTGTAGAGAAGCCTTCCCATATGTGACCCACCTTTGGCTAATCAAGAATTGAACTTTATATAAAAACACCAACTTTCTACAGTTCTTCAGAAATCATAGAAATAACAAATTAACAACTAAAGAAATGTGGAGTAAAGTCTTTAAAAACTTGTCCACGACAACATTGTTCTTTGTGTTACTGAAATAAATTTATTGTAAAAGTTAGGGGAAGAGCATAGGATTTCAAAACTATGATTTTTCATTTACTATTTTTGGCTCAGGACCGGGCAGTGTTTTGTTCTGCTGTGCATAAGGTCACTATGAGTTGGTACCGACTCAACAGCACCTAACAACAACAACAACAAATCTTGTACAAGAAATAGAAAACAGCGGGTTTCTGCTGTAAAGTTCTTATTCAAGATCCATTTCTCCAGCATGTGAACTGTTTCCCATCTTTCTCTGTGTTCTGTTCTCTTCGTATTTTGCCCTAACAGCTGTTGTTAGTTATAAAGGAACTACCATTAAAGCCAAATTACTGTTCAAAACTTTATGACCTTTTCATTTTCCTTTAGTTTTATAGATCTTCTCATCAATTAAGAGGGTGTGCTTAGTAAAAACACAACAAAAAGGAAAAACAAACAAAAACAACCAGTGGCTTTTTTTATCCTGTGTGTATTCTTCACAGTTTGTAGTTCGAGGAATAAACAGATAATTGAAGTTCTTTAGACCCTAATCTTTATAACTCTTTAAGAAGCTCCTCACCACTCTCTTGAGATGTTCGCCTCCTAGCTAGGAAAACATAGTTAATGGGGAATGTTTTTCAAAGTGTGGTCTGAGAAGCCCTGGTCATAGGCAAGTCACCTCCAGGTGGTGAATGGGGGTGGTCTATAGTTTCTGGCTGTATAAATAAATGATTAAAACATAAAATGATTTGATGTTTCTGTTCCTGGTGTGAGCTAATAAACACATTATTCACTTTTCATAGTAATTTTAATGATTTTTTTTAAAAGTGAGAATAGAGAAAGGATGGGGTGGGAGATGTTTAAGAAGTTCTTTTGCTCAAACCACACATGAACGACAAGGCTGAGCATATCTGTATGTACATTAATGGCATTCTAGCTTAAAAGTCCTTTTATTAAGTTACTAACTTAGAGTAAAGGAACTCTGGTAGCGTAGTGGTTATGAATCGGGCTGCGAACCTCAAAGTCAGCAGTTCGAAACTACCAGCTGTTCCGCAGGAGAAAGATGAGGCTTTCTGCTCCTGTAAAGATTTACAGCCTCGAAAACCCTGTACATGGTTGCTATGAGTTGGAACCGACTCCATGGCACATAACAAAAACAACAACAACAACTTAGAGTAATTTTAAAGTTCTTGTCCTGAGTCATAGAATAAGCAAAGAGCCACAATTTATGGGTAGGAAGAATGATTTTATACTTACTCTTTGTCCAGCAGGACCCTTAGGACCTGATATTCCAACAATTCCAGCATCTCCATCAGGACCCTGGAAAGATAATTTTAGAAATGTAAATTTTTAGCTTATATAAACATTTCATATATTACAAATGAAATAATCTCATACCAATCTATCAGGCATTGGCACTTCAAAAACAAATGTGATAGCTAAGGAAATGCATGCTAAAGTATTTAGTGAGGAGTGTATTAAGAAGCCTTGGTGACAAGTTAAGTGCTCAGCTGCTAACTGAAAGATCAGCAGTTTGAACCTACCAGCTGTGCCATGGGAGGAAAATTTGGCATTATGTTTCT